GCGAGACTGCAGGGCCGGGATGATCTTGGACAAGTAGTTACAGATCAGACAGAATCGAGTGTTTTCTGTAAACTTCTCAATCACTGAGGGAAAGACAGAGAGATAGAGCGGGATGAGAACGGGATAAACACAAGTTAAGCTCTGACATGTCCCTGTCTTCTTAAAGTCCTCTCATACAACTTGCTGTTTAAAACTAAAAACATTTAAAATGATTTTAAATCCTTGCCGACAACATCCACACTTCTCACATCTTCCTACATGTCATAGGTATGTTACTTCACCAAGAAACTACATGTCTGTAAAGGTAAAAGTGTTCCAGTTTAACTCAATCAACAGTTAAATCTTCTGATAGGTGTTGCTTTTTAGAATGAATATCAGGGTGTGCAAGCAGATATGCTGTAATTCACCAGTAACCAAATTGTCTGGCTGCTCAGTGAGCCGTGTGGCTCACAGTGGGCAACGCCTGGCCGAACAGATGGCCTACCTCGCCGCAATGCATTCTGGGCATCCTGGGTCATGGCATCAGCCTCGTCCAGTATCACTAACTTGAAGCCCTTCCTGGAGGACAAGAGGCACGGACAAAAAGGCAGGCAGCAGTTTAAATAATCTCCTTTGCTATTATGGGTTGTAGATAAAAGAAAAGAGCATGAAGAACATAGATTTTTAGTCTTACTTGAAGATGGTCCTGGTGCTGGCAAAACTCAGAACGGGACCTCGTACAACATCAATGCCTCTGTCATCTGATGCGTTTAGCTGCAAAACAAAACGAGTCAAATATCAAATCAAAGAACCACAAAGTCTGTGGTGCAAAGAAAAGTGGAAGCCTTCACATCCCAACAAACCAAACGCTTGTCATGATGATTAATTGTAGTGTACCTCCAACACCATGGAGTTGAACTCTTTGTCCTTGTACAGCTGCCTGGCACAGGCGAGGATGGTGGAGGTTTTGCCTGTTCCAGGGGGGCCATAGAACAAGAGATGGGGAAGCTTGTCCTCACTGATGAACTTCTGGACTGAAGAGATGAAAACACGAACAAAATTAACCGTCTGAATTTGACTGGGTCCTTTCTAATGTTAATTTGAAATATGAGGAAATATTGGCTTCAGCACTGGTCAAATTTAATGCAGTTACATCATAGACAAGGATCGGAAACACTGATAGACAGCAAGCAAAGTTATCTATCTTTAATTCATATTTATGTATCATTAAGTGTGATGCTTTAGTTTTGGAAATGAGGGTTATGTATTTATGTATTCATATACTTACTGGTGCTTAGAATATCCTTGTGTGAGATCAGATCATCAAGTGTCTGTGGTCTGTATTTTTCAACCCTGGAGCAGAAAACACATCACCCATTAATGATGTTTTAAATAATAAACACTTGCAACAGCTCAATGACAAATGCTAGCAACACATGCATGCAGCACAAGATCACTAAACATAAATAACTAAAAATATTACCATGTTTTAAACCCTAAAAATCATCATTCTTTGCATACTGGTGTAAACTACAGAGCGAACTTCATTAAGAATTTGTCTAATTTAATACGATCTTACGTATAAGTTTAAATATATATGCAAGACGCTTTATCTTAATAAAGATTTTACATTTTTGGGTACCACTTTTCAAATCGGCATACATATTATGTAGGTCTACTGTGCACTTATATGTTAAATAAGCTGGCAACTTTGTAATTTCGTCACAGTAGACGCTGCTAAATTTCCCATGAGTCAATTGGTTCAAGAGGCAACACGACAATACCTGACGCATTGACAGGTTAATGTGTATGCCGAATTGAAGAGAAGCTCACCTAGCGCAAGATTTAATATTCGTTTAACAAGTATGAGTAATATCTAATGTTATTTGTAAATACCAGAGAAGCTAACATTACAACGACGCTGCTATCTTCAGTCTATAACGTTAGGTACGTTAGCTAGCTAGCAACAACGATTTCAACCTCTCTGTGATAAACAGCGGCTTTAAACTCACCACGGTAAGTTCCTGGTCTGTGGCGGCGCTTTACTTGTTGAGGCCATGTCTCCTGTTAACTGTGAATTTAGCTCCAAGCTGTGGTTTTTAATACTTTTAGAGTTTTGAACGCTTCCACTCTACGTTTACTGTCTTTGGCGCGCTCCACAACAAAAACGGGCGTCAAACGTCACGACGTAGAGCCAATCGGATCGCTTTTTCGGATCCTGTGGGCGGGGTCTCGATGACACGAATGCCCACTGTAAAAAAAGTGTGCGAATTATGAAAAAAAAATCTTTTTTAAAGTGTAAGCCTACACTGCAAACACATATTTGTGGTGCACTTTGTAAATACAGTTCTGGATCAAATGTAATCTTGAAAACATCAGATATAATGCTGTTAATGCTGTACTATCTTTCTCTACAAGCCAGTGTTTTATTTAACTAGGTTGGACCCAATGCTGACTGAAGGCTCTGCAGGTGACACAAAGAAACTGTCATAAAAATTTGCCACCAGTGTCCTCACCCTGCCTCATTAGAGGTGGCATTGCTATGCAGAGTTCAGATCCCTAAGAGAGCAAATTATCACAATTAACAACTTAGTTGTTAATTCTCCCATCTGAGTTGTTTTGTTTTATGAAGTTCTTTACAATATAATTTCACCACTGTTATGCTCAGTTAGTTATGGAACTGACAAATGATCCAATGATAACAAAAGTTAAAAGTCTGCAGGCTTGTCTTGGCCTTAAATTGTGCACACACACCTCAACATGTTACTTTAATTTAATAAAATAAAGCTCATTTACTCTCCTCATAAACTGTAGGTTACTCCACTTTACCCCAACATGACCTTTTTTGCATTGTAGTTTTTAATTCAAATGTATGTGAAAATGCAGGTTCAAGCCACAAGAGAGTCAAAAAACCTTAATCTGAGGGCCTCACACACTGAGAGTTTGTTTAGGCCTAGTGTGTAACCATTCATCCAACCTGTATAGTGTCTCATTCTTGAAGCAGGTGTTGCATTTAATGAACTGAAAAAGACAGTGATGCCAATTGTATTTATTTTCAGTTGTATGAAGAATACAAGACAATGGCGACAATCAAATATGCTTATTTATTTACATATGTCAAAAAGTCCAGTGCACCTGCACATTTTTAGATGGCACAATTTCCCTGAATTTATTTGGATTATTATTCCATCCAACACTTTAAAGCAGGAGATCCCAACCGTTTTGACTCCTTGAAATGAAGCAGTGTCTTGTCACCTTACCACAGATTAGTGATACCAGTTGTGAGCAGCCAGAGAGGGTTTTTTCCTCCTTCTTTCCTTCTTTCATTTGAAAGATTTTTGAAGAACATGGTGACAGCATCCAGTCAAGAAAAGCAACATTTAGATTAAAGTCAGAAGAACAAACATACGCTTAATATTGTGTAACAGAAACATATATTCTTTACTGCACATCTCTTAAACCATCTTATACCCTCTCAGATTTGTCATGGCACCGTTCAAGGTTCCTTAACAATGCCTAATAAACAGTTGGAAATTTTCAGTAAAGCATGCTTTGAAGGATTACTGAACAGGCCTACACAGGGGCCCACAGTGTCAGGCCCCCCCTGGCCTTTACTTTCAAAATGACACTCAAATTAACCGATTTATCGGCCAGCCGATTATAGCCATTAGAGAATAATTGGCAATCGGCCAAAAGTTGGGCCAACTGACGCAGATGTTAACACTTACATTTTCATCACTAATAAAATGCAGGGAATATGGTGTTTTCCTTAGAAATGATATCCTTGTGTTACTTTTTGCACTATAACCTACCTCTTGTTAAATTGGTAATAATAAGAAGAACTCTGGTACTGTGAACATACATGTGAATGTCTTAATTCATATAGACTTCACATGATTATTTTATTTCCCAGAGGTTTACTGCCTTTTTGCACATCATATTTTTGATTTATTTTGTGTTCAAATTGTTCATAAGCTGCTTGTTCCACACAATTTCTGATAATAAAAGTATTTGAAAATAGTAAAATGTTCTTCCTTCAATTTATATCTTCGTAACGAGTGCTTGAACTATATTTAAGCCATCAAAAGCAGGTATTTCAGGGTTTTTTTAAATTGAAAAATGTAAAAATTGAATCGGCCGATATATTAGTTATCTGATTTTTTTTATTCCATAATTTCGGAATCGGCATCGGCCCCAAAAAATCCATATCGGTCGGACCCTACAAAAAAATTAGGAAGACACACAAAAATGACTACAAATCAACACAGAATGTCTATGAAGTGGCACAAAATTACCAAAAAAGACTTAAGGGGGTGACAGTAGCTCAGTCCATAGGGACCTGGGTTGGGAACCGGAGGGTTGCCTGCCCAAGTCCCCATCCGGACCAAATATGGAGTGTGGACTGGTCACTGGAGAGGTGCCAGTTTGCCTCCTTGAGCAAGGCACAGAACCCCAAACTGCTCGGGGCACCTGTCCATGGGCTCTGACATCTCTCAACTTAATTCATGTAAAGGTCCTGTTTGTGGATGTGTGCGTATTTTGGGTCTGTGTGTGTGTGACAACAGAGTGAAAAAAATTGAATCTCCCTTTTGGGATTTATAAAGTATTTCTTTGTCTTCTTGAAATTATCTTAAAGAGACGCATAAATACCCAAATAAGACACTCAAACGACTAAAAAACAACACAAAGTAACCAGAAGGAGACACAATATGAGTCTGTGTGTCCTGCTCCTATGTTGGAGAGGTGGTGGGGCCCTTTGTATATCTGTGCCCAGGGGCCCATTGTCTCATAGTCCACCCATGCAAGCATGATAAATAAAAAGTGCCCATCATATGTGCTTTTTTAATTTATATTGTTTGTTCATTGTGTTTGCTGTATTTCCTGGTTATGATTATGTTAGGGTCTTAACATTTGATATTTCTTTTCATCAGGAGTACAGAAGAGGGAATAAGACACACAACCAGGAGCAGACAGGTACACACTGACACAATTACCCTAAAAAGGAAGAAAATAAAAGTTAAAATTCATCAAACTTTTATGAGAATTTCAAGTTTTAAACAGGCCTGTTGTGTCATGGCCTACTAGCTATAGAAATAGTGTGTGTAGGCTGCAGGTGAGTGTAAGCTATGTGTGTGAGAGTGTATGTGAGCGTGCACATTTAGGTGTGTGTATAAAGACATATGATAAAGGTACATCCCCCCATCTTTCCTCCAGACATGTAAAAAGTCTTGCTCCTCTCACAGGCCTGGAGACTGGCTGAAGCACTGAGCCCACCGCACTCGGCGCTAATCTCGCGAGAGCGGCCCCTCACGGCGGTGCCTGGGCGATGCGATGCTGTTGCTGTGGGTTTGATTGACAGGAAACATGTCGGTGTGGTGGGAGCGAACCGGGATGCAGCTGCTGCCAAGGGAGACAGGGAGTACCTGCATCCAGTCCACACATCAGCACCTTTAAAACCACCAGGCTTTCCCCACAGATCCGTGTGCTCATGATGCGCTGCTGAACCGCTTCTCTTCTCTTTTCTTTTTTTTTTTTTTTTTGTAAAAAAGCAAACCCATCCATTTGAAACGAAGGGGCACCCAATGGATGCTGTGGCGAACCGTGTCGTCCCGCTCGGTATCTTCACATTGTGTTTGATTTAGCCTCCAGCCAGAGACACCTTGATGAAACAGCAGGAACTACGAGGACTGTTGTTGCAATGGAGTCGACTCTCTCACGGCTCAAATCGCGTCTGTAAACCTACAACATCTCGTTTCATGGCGTTTTGCAGGTTGCTCTGCTCCGTGGGCTTCTCCACGTTTCTTTCCTGAATTATTATTTTTGTTGTTGTTGTTTTTTTATTTTTATTTCAAAGTGCAAAGGGAAAATAACGACCACTGCTCGCAAAACTATGAACGAGGAGATGACAAAAAGCGAGGAGCAGCATCTGAGTTTGCAGAAAGCCTTGCAGCAGTGCGAGTTGGTGCAAAATATGATAGACATAAGCATTTCTAGTTTGGAGGGTTTACGGACCAAATGTGCCACATCCAACGACTTGACACAAAAAGAGATACGCACGCTGGAGGTAAGCACCGTTTGAGCGCAATGACTGAATTTCTGCTGTGCATCTTCATGTGAATCAATACGGGGGGCTGTCACCGTCTGTTATTTATTTCTAGGCCACCGCATATTTTTCAGCGCTTTTTCCTCCAAACTGCTTTTCTGTGCTCGCTGTCGCCGCCGCATCAGCGTGCACAGATCCCTGCCAAAGCCCACTGCTATCTGTTTTGTGCAGTGCAATAAATCAAGAGGCTACACGGGGCTGCAGTGGGCTGTTGGAGACTTGCGCATTCTGCAGGTGGCGGGGAGAGAAGGTGGCTCTTCTCCATCAGAATAATATGTGAGGCAGCCGCGGCCTATAGGCAGCCCGTGTTTACAATCCATTACCAATATGCCAGGCTGCGCATCTGTCCTCGCAGCGCATCCAGGCCCCGCTGTTATGCAAGGCGAGCAGATTACTGAAATTGTTACAACATATCGTTATCTGTTTAATTGGCCCGCGGGGTATTCCGTAAATTGCGTTATGTAATGGCCATAATATCCCGGTGTTGTGTTTGAGGTATCAGACTGTCCGTTTTTAGACCACTTAAACCAGTCAAACGCCCCCTCCCCTCCTTCCACCAGTGAGAGGCTGTTACGGGACATGAAATAATGCCATAAAGTGCGATAAGGTCACTGAAAACTCAGCAGACAGCCCAGCATTAAGGGCCTGTAAGAATGTTATGGTGATCCCTCAGGAGATTAAAACAAACACCATTAAGTGCGATAAGGTCGCCATAAACTCTGCATTGAGTATCTGCGTGTGCCATCAACACACTTTAGGTCCCAGAGGGGAATGTAATTGAGATGTTATATAAAAATAAAGTCACTTATGAGTGCCACACACTAATCCCAGCCCCACAGGAATATCTGGATATATATAATATATATAAACGCATATATTCAAAGCTGTGCCTGAGCTATCAGCTGCTATAGAGATGAAGTTTGTAACTGTTGCACAGACAGGAATCCAAGAGGAGAGACATCTAATATTAAGTACAAATGTGTTGCCAGCAAACAGCAGGCTACAGTATGAAGATGAATGTTCACTGAACGCCTTGCAAAGCATCATGGGTGCTGGATCATTTGTTGCAAGCATCACAGAAGTATTCTTTTTGTCTTACAGCATATTGATATCAGGAAGATGGATCATTGCAGATGGAATTGGTTGTCAAAACTGAGATAAAAAGGATGGATTTTGGATGAATCCTGAGCATTTCCCAAAGTTCAAGTAAAGATATACCCTGATAGTATATTCAGGTTTTTTAGAAAGTACATTTTGGCAAGTGTATGTGTAGATATATCTGTACCAACTGTGGTGCATATGTAAGGGACATGCAGAAATTATTTGGTGGTTAAAGGGGGTCAGGCGGCATAGTGGTGCTGTGGTTAGCATTGTTGCACTGTCCTGGTTCGAACCCTGGGGTGGGGGAGCCCCTCTGTGCAGAGTTTGATGTTCTTCCCGTGTCAGCGTGGGTTTCCTCCAGGTACTCCAGCTTCCTCCCACAGTCCAAAGACATGCAGGTTAATTGGTGACTCTAAATTGTCTGTAGGTGTGAATGTGAGTGTGAATGGTTGTCTGTCTCTATGTGTCAGCCCTGTGATAGTCTGGTGACCTGTCCAGGGTGAACCCTGCCTCTCGCCCAATGTCAGCTGGGATAGGCTCCAGCCCCCCGCGACGCCCAACAGGATAAGCGGTTACAGAAAATGAAAGGGTCAGAAAAGGTGCAGGGTGTTGTAATTTTTTTGGTTGAAGGTAGAATAGTCTGACTTTTTAGGGAGCAGGAAGGTCTTTTATTTTTATATTTTCATTCCTGCTTTATGCAAAATCCAGAGCATATAAGTTGTCTGCACACAATTCTCAGCATGGCCAGCTAGCAGCTAACAGAGCTAATTCCATACACAGCGCTAAACAGCAGTAACAGTGCTGAAAGAGCGGACAGTGTTAACCAGGGGTAACCAGAGAGTGGGTGCTGCGATTCCTCAACGCTGCTGTCCCAATATCAGCGCTAACTGGCTAGCGATGAGCTAGCCAGCGGGACACACACATGCACTAATATGCACAAGCAGCCAGACCGGTTTACCTGAACAAACCACAAAGATGCTCAAATTACAGCACACACAGATGTACTGTAAGAGAACACCTTTACTCAAATATATCTTTACATAGCAAAAACTGGTTTGAATGCTCTGAGTTTCGCATGCAGAACCTTTAATTCTGTTTAACTTCACCCTTTCTTTACAATAATTTCAAAAGTTGAAATGTGTTTTATTAATGTGTACATGGATGGTGCACATTATGAGCACTATTAAGATATTATCCGTTAGAATGGGGCAGCAATATGACAGGTGCAAACTTGTACATTTGCAGTGACACCCATGTGGTTAAAGGGACCTTGCAGAGTTTCTGACCACTACTGGTGCTTTGGAGTTTTTTTTTTGTTAATGAGGCAGCATTGTTTGTGTCGCTTGTTGTACCAGAATGACATGACACATGCATGAGGAGTGATGTGAAACACATTTCTGGTTTTGGTGGCTGCAGAGGGCAGTGATGCAGGACAGCAACGTGTCACGGACAGAGAAGAAGACAGTGAGTTGTGTTGTTGTGAGTGAGTTTGTGTAGACGAAACAGGTTTTGAAAATGTTATTGATCAGTTTATACTCAATCCATCGAATTGAATGCAGGAAATATAATGCACTGAGGGTGTTGTAGGCTTTGTTATAGTGGAACATCTGGCTTCACCTTCTATACTTAGTGTAGTTTTGTGAAGTGACACTCTTTGCAGCAGTATTTCCTGTCACTTGACACCTGAAACCCTTTCATGGCTTATACAGAGTGAGCAAAGTCAGAATTATCTCCTATCTATGAACATTTTGTCCCTTTGAACACTCAAAAACAATTTCCCATACAATTCATCATTAAAGGTCCAGTGTGTAGGATTTAGCGGCATCAATTGGCAGAAATATGATATTCATAACTATGTTTTCATCAGCTTATAATGAGCTGAAAATAATAATTGTTGTGTTTGTGTTACCATCAGAATGAGCAGTTCATATCTACATGGAGGTCACCATGTTGTTTCTACAGTAACTTAGAAAGGACAAACCAAACGCTGGCCCTAATTAGGGCCATATGCATTTTTGCGTCTGCCACCGTAGCTCTCCAACAAGCTTCAGTTGGTTTATTCTTGGATGCAGGTAATACAGTGTTTCCATTGAGTTAGTTAGTTATCCGAAGCTATGTTACTGGTCTCCATCAACTCCTGAGAATATCATCTACCTTGTAACATTCACTAGCTAGGTACTACTTTGTTTCTGTTGTTTGGTGTTGGGCTTGTCGTGCACTGTGGGTTTATCAGTGTTGTTTTGTTGTAAACAGATGCCTGCTGCAGCTGGAATTTCAACTTCTGGGTTTGTCTTGTGATGCCATAGAGCCAAAAAAAGACGTTTCCCCATAGATTATAATATATAATAATATAATACATTGTGAAAGAGACATCTGTAAATCATTAGGTACATTTTGAGTGTTAGACAAAACTTAAAGCCAATAAGAGGCTGCATAGACAGGCTACTTACTAATTGATGCGCTCGCCTGACCGAACTGACCACAGCTCATCAGGTGAAACAAAGAGTCCACTTCTTCTTCTTCTTCTTCTTTGGTGCATAATTTATTTATCACCGCTACAGTCCTTAATGAAAAACTTGCAAACATCCATGGATCTGTGTCCATAATCCATTCAAATATACACATTTTTCACCATTACATTAAGCAGCATACACCTGACTTGACATGGCCCGAAGTTGCGGTAAAAAAACTATGTGTACTTCCCGTCTAGCAACACCTGTCCCTCAATGAATAGTTCCTACCTGTATTGACAGACACCCATGACAGTACAGTGACCCCCACAGGACAAATTAGCATCCTGACTCATGGCTCCTATACGTGCAAAATCACTTGTTTGGGTATTTGATAATATTTCGAATGTCTAGAAGAGCTGCACAATTAAATCATTTTTACTCCCATTCAAGCTAGTGGAGGACTAAACTGGAAGCTAGCCCTTCTGTCTGTAAAAGTCTCGAGTGCGCCTGCTTCATGGTAACCACAGTGTGGAATATCTGGGTAATTTTATGCCACTGAAATTTAGCTTTTTGGCCACCTCAGACACTGTATGCAGTTTCCATCACACATCCATGGTCCCAAATTATGTCTCATCTGTGGTTGCTTTCTTTCTTTCTCCCCTCATAACTGCTTAGAAATCCACAGTGATGATGACTTAGATTTGTTGCAGACCCCCTAAAGCTTTAAATGAAGCAGTGACTGTGAGTAATGTTGCCAAACTTCAGTTGTTCAGCGGCAACCACACAGTGTATCTCTGTGTTAAAGTTTTGGTCTAATACTGATTTGACCAATCTGTACGGTACAGGATGCTACTAGGACATTCACACTAGCTACATTTCTATTATTAAGTGTATGTCCACCAGACAAAATAATAGAAACACCAACATGAATTCAGGTCACAGTGAGATATTTTGGTAGTCACGTACTGTTGTGGGCTGCAATTCTTCTGTTGTTAAATTTAGGCTACAATCCCCTTGGAAAAAAACACATTTCATCAATACCCAGGAACCAATACAGATATGGCTGCTGCAGAAACTTGCTCTGGGTGGAACTGCATCAGCTTTTTGTATTATTTAATTTTGTGAGAGTTTTCTGAGCAGAAACAGTTGGAAGAAATGTTCAACAGAAAGAAACGAGTATTAGAAATAATGCAGAACAAAGGAAAACACACCTAACAGTTGATTCACGAGTGCAACAAAGGAACCGTCTAATCTTCCTCAAATCCTCCAATTTGGAGAGCTTTCAGGATGGCAGTCCCCTTATTGCCTCAACGACAAATGAGTTGTCCACCAGGGGTTTTGATGAGGATCACAATGACGTCAGCCGTACGCAAAGCCTCCCTTGTTAACCTGCCCTGATCTTTATTG